TCCTATCTTTAAAAGACATTTGAAGGCAGCCCTGTTCAGGGAAGTTTTTAATATTTAATGCTGTACTGTTTTTAACACTTGATTGGGAGCTGCCCAGAGTGGCTGGGGAAACTCAGCCAGATGGGCGGGGTATAAATAATAAATTATTATTATATTATTATTATTAAATGCACTTTTAAAAATAAATGGATTTTTTGCAGTTAGGAAAGTGATGGGGAAAGTGTAGAATGAACGAATGGTGAATGAGAAGATGTTTTAACGCCCCAAAAACAAATCAGGACAAATGCAGGATGAACACCCATCATCATATAATAACCTCCCCACAACCAAATCAGAACTAATGTCAATAAAGACTGCCTACAACCTCACCTCTCTGTAAGCTCTGTGTAAGGAGATCAGGATACTCAATAATTGGGTCATCTAGAGGAATCCTATGAAAATCAGCAGGTAGATCTCCTGTGGTGAAGGGACTTGAACAAGTCAATAATTTATACTATTAAGAGGCCTTTTTTGTTTTGTTGTAACCTTGAACTGCCAGCAGTAGCATCTGCCTCCTTAAAATAATAATAAAAAAGTTCAACTAATCAAGGAAAACTTCCTCCCTTTTTCCACATCCTCTTCTTATTTGTACAAGAAGCTTTTGATTTCAAATGCATGTGACATATTGAAGTGAAGCTGATGACTCCATTAATTAAAAACAAAGATGATCGCTCTTCTGTCTCTCCCCGCTCCCCCTAAAATTATAAACCTGGCAAAATGCTGGCAGGCGCTCAGCAGGCGCTGATCTAAACTGTGAACCTGTTTTGTAGGTTTCCGTCACTCTGAGGGCTTCTGGCTAAAATCTATAGTTGGAAAGATGACTGTGGCGAAGGAGAATGAGCAATTCTCCCAGACACTGAGGAGGAGAGGAAAAGGCGGAGGCATGTACTAAGGGGTAATTAAAGGAGCTGTCCCCATAGGGTTGCCAAGTTTTCTTTTGTTTCTCCTAGCCCTGTTCCTGTGCCTTTAGAACAGGGATGGGCAACCGGCAGGTCAGGAACCCACACAGCATTTCATCTGATTATATGCAGCCATTCTCGCATGGCTGCTAACCACAATGGCTTATGTACTACCTCCCCAGGCAGTTGTTGGCAGTGCACTTCTGGAGGTGAAGTCAAACCGCTGCATTAGCAGCACTGAAGTGACTTTCTCAGTGTCCAAACCTGGGCAGTGTTTATAGAGGTCCTGGGCTGCCCAGACGACAAGACCTCCCTCTCAGTCTCACTGATGTGGTCCAAAGGATAATAGGTAAAGGTAAAGGGACCCCTGACCATTAGGTCCAGTCGTGACTGACTCTGGAGTTGCGGTGCTCATCTCGCTTTATTGGCCGAGGGAGCCGGCATACAGCTTCCAGGTCATGTGGCCAGCATGACTAAGCCGCTTCTGGTGAACCAGAGCAGCGCACGGAAACGCCGTTTACCTTCCTGCCGGAGTGGTACCTATTTATCTACTTGCACTTTGGTGTGCTTTCGAACTGCTAGGTTGCCAGGAGCAGGGGCCAAGCAACAGGAGCTCACCCCATCGCGGGGATTCAAATCACTGACCTTCTGATAGGCAAGCCCTAGGCTCAGTGGTTTAACCCACAGCACCACCTGTGTCCCTAAAGGAAAATAAAGCAATGCATTTGGCACCAGCTTGGCTGCAGGATTTGCTGGAAGGAGGTGTACAAGACACCATTCAACCGTGTGATGGGCAAATGGAGAACCTCTCAGACTCAGCCCGGTGCTTTCTAGGTACAGGACAAATGTGGACGAGCCTCCCTCCTTCCCTCTCTCTGCTGAATCCATTTCTTTGCAGATCTGTGAGCCTGTAAACTCTCTTTCCTCACCAGCTCTCACAGCAAAAAAAACAACAACAACCCGTCTCTCTTTGCATGCACTCTCAATGTTGACTAGCAGCAAGGGGCCTGCAGCAACATGTTGGAGCTGCTTGTTTTCCCCTGCATGATATTACTGGGTATTATTTATGGGCAGGGTTCCTGTCAGCTACAGTGAGCGTATGAGAGAGAAGTCGCTGTACTACAATCATTTATCTTACCCCTCCCAGCCTGTGTCTTGACTCCCTCCAGAGATGGTTAATGATCTCATGACCTTAGAGAACAAAGGCCAGTGTCTTGGGTGTCTTTTTGCCACGCACTTCCCTGCAGGAACACTTTCCCCCCTCCCCCCAACATGCATAGGTACACACCCATAGTTAACTATACTTTCCCAACAGTCCACAGATGAAAACAGGGATGTTCTTGTCACCTCAATTTTCTGTACCACACATCACTGCCCGTTGCCCATTCACTCCATTTGCCAGCAACTGTGCTTTGGCTGCTGCATCCATGCATTCTGCAAGAGTCTGTTCTTCACTGGACTATTGAAGCTAAGTACGCTAGCAAACAGGTCATAACAGTTGCCTTTCTTAAATACAATAAAAGCTTTTAACAGGATGTTTAATCTCACAGCAATCTGCTTGTACACACTGTAGAATAGCGGCAACTCAGAATGTTCAGCAACGTTTAAAATCTGATATTCAGCGCAGACACTGAGCTGAGCTGAAAGTGTTTTGGTTTTGAAGGTGCAGCGGTGATGGTGTTGGGGTGGAGACGGGGGGGGGGGAATCAAGGATGGAGCTGACATTTCCCCAAAGCTTTGAAAACTCTCTTATGCTTTTATGGCAGCAGTGGTTCCTTTCAATCATTTTTATCTCTGTGATTATTATTATTATTAAAATGTCTCCCCTCCTTTGCCAACTTCCCCTGTGTGGATGCCATGTGACATAAGAATCAGAAAACTAGTACTCGGGTTTCACTGAAAAATCTGTACATTAGTCAAAACTGCATATAAAATGGTGCTTACTAGGTGAAACTCAAATTAAAATGCTAATGAATTTCCATAAGGTTGTTTTTTTAATAAAATAAAATAAAAGATTTGTAAATTGCTGCAAAGATCGGAATAATGAGAATAATGAGAAACAGAACTCAAATTGACAGACCATTCCATTCCTGTTCCTGGGACACCTTCCCAAGGATGATACAATCGCAGCCCAAATAAATCAATAAAGACAAACTGGAGGTGTATTTGTGGGGATTACTTGAAGTTCTCATTTTTGTTGTGTCTGTCATCACTGAGCTCAACAGGATACCCCTGGGGTCTAGTATAACACAATCTATGGCGCCATATAATTTTTTTCTGCACTCACATTTCAATGGCTATTCTAGCCGTTCTGGATCAATGACGGCAAAGATGCTATAGCCAATTCATCTAGTACTTTGCTCAGCAACGGGAATGAGAGAACCGCAGGTCATTAAGCATTTTGGGTGCTCTGCAATGTGTTGCTTTTCCCATTAACCCGCTGAGCAAGATGGATGGGATGATATTGGCTCTGCTGGAGTAACCTCCATTAGCACTTCTGAGCCAGCAGTCTGAGCTGAAACTTTTCCGCTATCCCTCAGTAAGAAAACATTGACTTCGCCAAGGTGAGTCACATCATCCAGCACAGTTCAGCTTTTCTCACACTTCCCTGAATTAACATTACAGTCACAGACAAGGCCTTTGCCAAGGGGGTCACAAGCAGGTCATGTAGAAAGACAGAGATCACGCTTCTGCAGGCCTGCTTCCCCAACCCCCCCAAAATATGAGGAAGAAGAAAGGGAAGAAAAGACACATAGTTGAATTTTCCAAGTATGTGCATGTACGTGTGCATGTGAAGTCAATGTGTCATCCTGTCGTTTTAGCACACATTATTTGACTAAGCTCTCACTGGCTTCATTAAGTAGTGCTTTTACTGAGCTGTGTTTTCGCATGATGCCCTCTGCAGTTCTTGATGATTGTTACCTTTCTTCTTTGGCGATCACTTGTACCCAAGTAAGATTGTCTTCCAGGAACACAGTCTTAACAGCGAGTCCATAAGTGACCTTGGAGACCAGTTCTGGATCCACACGTCCTTCCCCAGTGGGGATATATGTTCCCCGGCAGGAGTTGATCACAGTGAGGGTTTGCCAAACGTGCCTTCCTCTTAGCACGTTTCTCCCTTTCGTCCTGAGTTCTTGATGATTGTTGTAATAAGATACTGTTCAAAGACAGGCTCTGTATGTGTGGGCAACCTCAAGCAGAGGATATTTCCCAACATGTTAACTTGTTCGTTATATGCAGAGCCAAGTGACTGCTTGCTGAAACATATGCTAACACAGGAAAGCAGGTTCTCCTCTACTGAGAGGGTTCAGTTTCTTTTGAGTGATAACAGTGCCTTTGTGACACATAAAGTAGTCCTTTTTGCTCTGGCCATATGAAAGATTAGGAAGAATAGCTGACAAAAATAGCTGACAATTGTATTGGGGACTTGGAAGTCTAAACTGATATTTTGTCAGTTCTGGATATGGTATACCTGTTGTCTTAGGGTTGTTGAGCTTTTTGAGTTTTAACTTTCACAAGAGCAATTGCCAAAGGAGCTTTTAGATCTACAGCTTAATGGTCTTAATGGGAGGGAGCACGTCTTAGATGGCCATGTGTGAAGCACACAATTAAAATTTATTTTCTTCCTCCCCTCCCTCCTCCATGCTTTCCAACTGCTGATACATTAGAGCAGGGGGCAAATGATTTGTCAACCCTGACCAGGAAAAAAGAAATATTCTTTACATCTGCAGTTTTGCATTTTTAACTCACTTTTAATCATAGCCCCATCATGACTACAGTAATCAAATGAGGTCTTTGCATCTGCTGCCCTGATGTGAAAGATATTTTACTTGGGAATAAGAACCATTGTGTTTTAAGAAAGGGTAATATATTGGAAATAATAATATGAGCATCTGCAACCATGGAGATGTCCAGCTGCCCATCCTCAACTGCAAATTTAAAAAAACAGTAAGAAGATGGTAGAATGTAGGAAGGTGCCTGGGTGAAAATCAGTCCATTGGTTCACCTGGCTCAGCAGTGGCTCTCTGGGGTTTCAGGCGGGGGATTTGATTTTTGGCCCTATCTGGAACCTCAGGGATTGAACCAGGGACTTTCTGCATTCAAGGCAGATGCTCTCCTGCTGAACTATATCCAGGGGCGGCATGTTTTGCTGCTTGAGATGGAATGGAAAGTGCTGTGCTGCCCTGCCACTGCTGCTGGCACCACTTCTCTGCCCAGCCTGCCCCCTCCAGCACTTTCAGGCAAGATCTCACCCAATTTTGGTGTGACCGACAAATATCAAGGCCACTTCTGTTAGGGCTGCCATACACCCAGATTTTCCTAGACACTACCAGGATATCAAAGGCAGAATTGATGTTGGAGGGGCAGTTCTTCTGAAAGGTGGTGCTTTGTCTTGGATCCCAAGGCAAGTCTATCGAAAAATCACGGTTTTTTGGCGTTTTTGTGATTTCCTTACAAAAAGCTCAACAACTTTCAGGGTGTTCTGTTTTTTACTTTTTGAAATATGTCATCCATCTTGGAGCTTGATATAGAGAGTGAGGAGAGAGAAAAAGGAAAGAAAGCAAAGAAAGTAAAAATGGGGAAGCATTAACAAAAATTCCAAAAGAGAGGAAGATATAACTATTTAAAACCATTGGCCAACACGAACATCTATTATCAACTCCACTTTCTGTTAGACTATATTTCCTCTGAGTTCAAGAGTCTCGTGGTCATTCATTTCCTTCTCTCACGGAAAATCCAAGATAAATTCCCTGATATTAATATGTGTTAACTGTGGTTTTTCCCCTTTTTATTTTACTTATGCTGATTCCCAGGAAGATGTTTAAGCACCCTGCAAGCAAATCAGGATCAATGCTGGTCATCACATCACATAACTTCCCTGCAGACAAATCAAAACACATGCACAATAAAGACCAGATATCATCTAACCTCTGTGTTAAGTTTTGTGTAAGCAAATCAGGATGCCTGTTCAATATGTAGGTCATCTGCAGAAGCCCTAAGCAATCTCTTCTGATTTAATTTGGATCTCTTCCCAGGATTGTAATGTCAACAATGCTGTGATGAACCAAATGACCAGTGGCTTTTTCTTAGTCATCTCCACCATGGAAAAATGACTGGTTAGCTTTTAAGAACTGGGACAATTCAAGCCAGGAGCAGAAATAAAAACAGATGAGAGTTTAGGATATGATCTATCAAGCAATATTACCACCAGAAAGTTTAACCTGAGTAAAAGAACAAATTCAGCACTGGTATAAACACTGTTGCCTGTGAGAGAATTGCTCCAAGGAGGAATTTGGCACATTCTGTTTAAGCAGCAGGAGTGAAAGTTATCCTCTTGATCTGGAATTCCTGATATAAGCAGCATGTCTCGTTGTTTGACTCTTTATTTACTTACATATTTTTGGCATAAATTCCGTGTGCTTTAGACCACCAGTGTGCCTCGAGAAGAAAATTAATTACAAAAATCTTCCCTATATACGTCTAAATGATAGAGAAGATGGAGCATTTTACAATGAAAACACATCCAATTTTAATGAAGTTCAAAGGAAGAAATGTTTATTTATGGATTAAAGTATAAAAAGATTGGCTGCTCATAACGTTTGCTGAAATACTGACAGGATTTTATTTTATTCCATTAGACAGTTCGTTCCTCGCAGACGGTGAAAAGAAGACATCACGGCTTGAGCTCAAAGTATGGTGAGCGGATCAATGTTCCAAGCAGAAACTGTCAGTATGCTCTTGGCTCCTCCCCTTGCAACTGAGAACATATGATCTACCAGGGTAGCCTTAAGCAGCTGAACGCAAGAACAGAAGAAGAGCACTTTTGCATCAAGACAAAGGCCTATCTAACCCAGCATCCTGTTCTCACAGTGGCCAATCAGATGCCCCAATAAGAAGCCCCTGAGCAGGACCTGAGTGCAACAGCCCTCTCTCCTTCTGGCGGTTTCAGGCAACTGGAATTCAGAGACATACTGTCTCCAATAGTGCATAGCCACTTTTGGCTTTATCCACCATGGATTTATCTAACCCTCTTTTAAAACCATCCAAGTGGTGGGTCATCGGTAGATATTGCAGGAACAAATTCCATAGCAATGATTATGTTCTCTGCTTTATTTTGTCTGTTGTGAATCTTCCAACTGGAGGACAGGGGGCAGGCAGGTGTGGAGGACTCCCTGGTCCTGAATGGGGCAACTGTGCCCCTGAAAGACCAGGTGCACACCCTAGGAGTCATTTTGGACTCACAGCTGTCCATGGAGGCGCAGGTCAATTCTGTGTCCAGGGCTGCTGTCTACCAGCTCTGTCTGGTATGCAGGCTCAGAACCTACCTGCCCGCAGATTGTCTCGCCAGAGTGGTGTATGCTCTGGTTATCTCCTGCTTGGACTACTGCAATGTGCTCTACGTGGGGCTACCTTTGAAGGTGACCCAAAAACTACAATTAATCCAGAATTTGGCAGCTAGACTGGTGACTGGGTGTGGTCGCTGAGACCATATAACACTGGTCCTAAAAACATTGGCTCCCAGTACATTTCTGAGCACAATTCAAACGGCCTCGGCCCAGTATATCTGAAGGAGCGTCTCCACCCCAATTGTTCTTGTTCTGCCCGGACACTGAGGTCCAGCGCCAAGGACCTTCTGGCGGTTCCCTCCCTGCAAGAAGTGAAGTTACAGGGAACCAGGCAGAGGGCCTTCTTGGAAGTGGCGCCCGCCCTGTGGAATGCCCTCCCATCAGATGTCAAGGAAATAAACAACTATCTGACTTTTAGAAGACATCTGATAGCAGCCCTGTTTAGGGACATTTTTAATGTTTGATCTTTTATCCTGTTTTTAATGTTCTGTTGGGAGCCGCCCAGAGTGATTGGGGAAACCCAGCCAGATGGGTGAGGTATAAATAATAAATTGTTGTTGTTGTTGTTGTTGTTGTTGTTGTTGTTGTTGTTGTAACTCTAAGAGCCATTGAACATCTCTGAGTTCTAGTATCAGAAGAAGGTTGCCTCTGCTGAAAAGGTTTGGGTTTCTGGAGTGTTGACTCATCACCATCATGGCAGAGTGTCTGGAGATAGACCGCACATTCCTCCCAAGAGATGGACAAAATATTCCTTTCTCTGGGGCTCATCTTTGCTTGTTCCTTAGGGGTCCATGCCAGCCTTCCCCATCTGCTTTTCACTTCCCAGCATCTCCAGGTAGGTCCAGGATTGTCCCCACCTGAAAAAAGCTACTTCTAGAAAGTTAGTGCAATATAGCACATGTTTAGGGTTCATTTCCATGTTATTTGATTCGGGGGGGGGGGGGAATCCATTAGCAACCCATTAACCTGGAAAATCACAGGAGTAAAGTGACAAAATTTGGTGGCATACAGTTCTTTCCTGTCATTTTCATGGTTAAATCTTGAAGAAACAAAAGCACATATGTGCAGAAGGCGTGAAGAAGTAGCAACATTGCCCAATGATATTTGTTGTGCCACACCCACTGGAGTGAATGAAATTTAGTGCAACATGTTGGTATATTGGTCAAAAAGCCACAAGTCCATAACGCAAATATTGCAGTGTGAAAGGAACAATAGAAAACAGGACAGAATTGCTGGCATTGTAATCAGGAAAACTAACATCAGATTCCCCACATCTGAATACAACCCTACATTTGCCTCTTGTCTTGCATGTGGCCCCTAGAATATGGCCTGCCATGGAATGTGGCCCTCAGGCTTTAAAATGTCCCCATCCACGGTTTAATAGTTGTGGACCACATGCCAGGCCAGTACTGCTGACCCCTTTGGTGAGGAACACGCTTTATGTGCAGATATACTTCATGTGGAAACTTGTATTTAAAAAGCGGGATTGTTAGAAAGCGTCCCTTGGAGAGTCAAGAGTGGATGCACTTTGCTCAGATCTCATTCCCCGATATTTCCCTGATTTCTAGAGTGCATTTTGCCTGGCCAGGCAAGCTGGCTCCTGGGCAAAGCGATTGTATTACACCATATGCATCTTTCGACATCTCTGACACAATCCCACCATTGCTTTGGGGACGAATCAAGATGGGATGCCCAGGAAGAATGAAAAGGCGACATCCAAAATGACAGGCATGTGGGGGGCGGAGGCTGGGGATTGTTGCAGAGGCCAGAGAAAAATGTGACTTCAACAGTTGTGGAGAATGAACACCTGATGAGCAAAAGGTTGCCCTCCCCATTGTGCGGACTATTACATCTCTCGCCATTGTTGCCAACGAGACCCAGAATTAAAATAATTACCTTCCTCCCTTTCTTTCCTAGCTGTGGAAAGGTTCAAAAGTGCATTCAGTAGAGGCAACCCCCCTCCCCTCCAGAATCACAGAATTGCAAGCACAGAAGCACCTGGAGGCTGAAGAGACATGGGCAACTAACAATGTACTCTCTCCAGAACGAAAGCAGATAGGAAATTAAACTCTGCCCCTGAATGACTCAGGCTCCCCGATATAGAATAAAGTGATGGGGGGGGGGGGGTACATTCACATGCATGCTTCCTAGACTCTTGTTGGAAAATCAGGTTCTCTTGGAATTGTTACTAAACATATACAGTGGTACCTCGGGTTACATACGCTTCAGGTTACAAACGCTTCAGGTTACAGACTCTGCTAACCAAGAAATAGTGCTTCAGGTTAAGAACTTTGCTTCAGGATGAGAACAGAAATTGTGCTCCGGCAGCGTGGCAGCAGCAGGAGGCCCCTTTAGCTAAAGTGGTGCTTCAGGTTAAGAACAGTTTCAGGTTAAGAACGGACCTCTGGAACGAATTAAGTACTTAACCCGAGGTACCACTGTACTAGTGCAGCCTGCAACTAAACATTGCAGCATGGAGTGCTTCCACTGTTCAGGGTTCAAAGCAACCAAACCATGTACATTTCCCAAAAAAATACCACTCCAGTCCCTGTCTCCCCCTGACTTTATATCTCCTCCCGCAAATGTCAACTAATATTCTGTGCCTAGCCCTTATTGGGCTGTTTTAGGTAATCACCTCTCACCTATATGTGTGGTTTGTTCCTTACATCGTCTTTCACAAAATTTGGGGGCTCCCTGGAATCTGTTAGTTAGCAGTGGTGCAAGCTCCATGTGGCAGCACTGCAGGGGGGTGCATATTTTTTCGAGAGCTGTTGGGACCTGTAGGAGG